ATATAAAATGATTCGATACTATGATACACTGCTGCATTAACTATGATATAGTTTATGTACCGAAGTATGTTCCTAGGAGTCTTAATTTTCTTCATCGTCATCAATTTTCGGAGCCAAATAGTATCTGATATGTCCAATATCGCCAATTTTGTATTCGCATACTAGGGGTACATCATTGGACATGGATAGTTGTACTTGTGCACAAAGTGGTCCGGCTTTTATAAAACAGTTAAGGTAACGGCATGAGAATGTTAATTTCACAGGTTCTTGCATATTAACAACTACTGCTTCTTCTTCATTATCCGCGTCCGCTGTTTGTGCTAACTTGATAGTAGCTGGAAAAAAGAAATATCTTATGTGAATATACTAATAACATTATAATGTCAATTGTATAGATATATTTTTACACTTTGTAATATATACTTCTTCTAATTCATTTGCATTTTTAAATCAGTTTCATTAGAGAAAGGTACAATTCCTTTAAATATGAGAATATAAACAGGCTCCATTATGTAAATACATATGTATATGTATATGTATGTATGTTTATATACACATACATATGACCTCGTCTTTACAACAACAAGGTCAAGCAACAAAACAATTTCTAGGACACTGCTTAATTTCAATCAGTTGCTATGTAACTTCCACAGTTGAAGAATCTTGATTATAAGATGTTACAGAGACAAAGAAAATACTATACAGTTGAGGTAAGTGTTGTTATTATATCGAATTATTTAATACAAAAATGTTATACCTTGTCCATAGTCTCCAGAAGCACTAAACTTTATGCCTTCCTTAGAGCATGCAAATGTTATTGATTCTCCAAATTGACTTAAATCTCTACAAATACGGGAAAATTCTTGGGATGGCATTTTTACAACACACGAGTATGAAGTTTCCTATAAAAATACCATTATCGTTAGATAATATAATCGAATTCATATATATTTTGCTAAAGAAGTACTGAATTATTATGTACAAAAGAAAACATACAGGAATACCAAGATGTTCTTGGTCCATGTTTATAAGCTTCATCTCATATTCGGCAAGCTTCTCTTTGTTCGGTGATTCGAATATGAACATAATGTTTTCTGGATTATCCACAGCTCGCAAAGTGACAGTATCTTCTGAACCAGCACATCGTAAAATTTTGGACATGCTAGGGAAGAAGTTTGCTTACTTTTAGCTATTGTTAAAGGTTAATCTAATTAATTTATACAGGAAAAGAGAGCTTTGTCATTATAAACATTTATCTTCTATAGTATTTTATAAATAATTTGCATATACTAGATAGCACTATTGAAATTTCTATTGAGCCTTACCATGCAACACTCATGCCCATTGACAAATTCCTATCGCATCTATATTTATCAAAACCATCACTTCTGAGATTAAGTGATACCAAGGAAACGTGGGCATTGTCCATAGCCTGAACTTGGATTCCTGAATCGGAACATTCGAAGGTTGCTTCGGTTAAAAGATCCTTTATTGCATCCAACACTTTCTTCAAGATCGCACTTTGTATTAAACGTGCTTCAAACATTTTGCCGGTTCACTTTTTCTTGATTACCAATGCGCGTAAACTAGTTGATTCAAACAACTACCGTCACTTGAAAGAATTCTTCAGACCGGTAACGTTACCCGCGCTTTCTTACCGCCGAAATGCTCGGAACTAGATGGCATCCCCGAATACCGGAAACATGTTTAATTTTCAAATCGAGTAATGAACACTGTTTCGTAATTCTAGTCAACAAAGTAACGCAGAATCATCCCAAGTTAATTTAAACTTATCGGAAACAATGAAACACCTTTTACTTTATATATAAATGACAAATCATTAATTTATTTTACATAAAAAATGTCTTTCTAGTATATTCGTGTGAACGTGCAATATCAAAATTTAAGTACTCGAAAATTTTGACCTGGAAACATTATGCAAGCACATAATTGATATTGTTAAAAAGGATAGGGTTCAATTTTAAGTAAACTTTTATATAATTAGAAAGTATAAAATCATAACAGAATATAATTTATAAAAAATAGTTTAATAAATGGCGAAAGTTGTTTAATATAAGAATTGGAAGAAATCAATCGAATACGAAGTAAATATACAGAGAAAATTGATTCATATTCGCAACTGGTTTAAAGAATTTCGTACAAGTATATTTTAAGAACAAAAATTTATGAGATGGAAACATATGGATATAAAAGTATTTAAATACGACTCAATTGCTAACATCATACTTAAATAAATGCAGTCTCACTCGTTATAGTTTACAACTAGGGATATTTACACATCATGTACGAAATTAAATTTTTAAAAAATAGAATACTAATAATTATGGAAATAGGTAATTCTCGTTGGTGTGTATTAAAATCCGATATCACCAGCCATGTTCTCCAATTCGCTGAACATTTGATCGAGATGCTGAAATGAAAATTAGTATAAGTTAGATTTCTGAAGCTTAATCAACTTCTATGGCAAATAATTAAATATATTCTACGCACATCAGCTGGCTCAGAATCTTTCCTTATTTCTTCTTGTTTCTCGGTGAACGATAATCTTCCGTTTGTATCCACTTCTTCTCCTTCATCTTCCTCAAAGTCGTCGTCATTATCCTCGTTGTCATCGGAATCATCTTCTTCTTCTTCCTCTTCATCGTCGTCGTCGTCATCATCTACATCATCGTCTATGTCGTCATCGGATCGAATATGACAGGACATATCCATCTCCTCGTAATCTTCTGGTTCTTCCTTGATTTCCGTAAGCATTATAGTCTCGGAAACTGATTCTGTCTCAGCTGGACACGGTGGAGGTGCTTCCGACGCTGGAGGTATTTGAGGTGGTTGACTGGTCTGAAATTAATAATTACTTTTAAAATTTCACATAAATGTAAAATGGCTGAAAAATGTAAAATATATGTATATATTTTTACCCATGGCTGTTGTTGTTGTGATTGCGCTGATTTAGCTGATGCTATTGATGCTGGCACAGATGAAGAAGATGAAGAGGATTGCAAATTCGTATTTTGTTCTGGTACCTGAGATATGACCTTATTCTGTGTCTGACTGGAACTGTCTTGTAATCTATTTCCTACGTTACTTTCTACATTTATCAAGGTTTTATCAGTGTGATTAACCTTCTGTTCATTTTTTACTTGAGAATTACTATTTGGCTCTTCTTTCACTTTCTTAACATTTGGTTTAGGTTCACCAGGAAGACAAGTATTACCACGCTGCCTTCTAAATCTAACAATAATACTTCTGGTATCCCACATTAAATCATGTGCTTGCTTATAAGCAAATATAGATTCATCTACACTATTATACCTTATAAAAGCGTAACTGAAAGGTAATACAAATATAAGATATAAGTATATAAAATTATTGCATTACATTGAATATGACGAATATAATTTACCGTGTATTTCTCATTTTCTGTGCATAGCCTACGTCTACTCTAGCAGCTGTGGGAAATTTACTTTTTACTTCATTAACATTAACGGATTCTGGTAAATTCCCTATATATAATGTATAAGGGTCTATTTCCTCGGGCATTGGATTATCTTCATCCCTTAGGGATTTTCGTTCAACTTTTAAATGTCCAACTCCAAACGGAATTTTCTCCAATTCTTTTATAGCTTCATCGATATCAACACTCTCTGCCATTTGTATGAAACAGTATCTAGGACCACTAGGACTTTGAAAATGTATGTTTTGTATGCCAGGATGAAATTCCCTAACGATATCTTTATTCAAATCAGGATCTGGGAATTTGATTATGAGACTCTGAGCTTTCACCGTTTTGTTGTATTCATTCTCAGTCTTCAAAGCTCTTTCTGCATCTTCTCGATTCCATGGTCGACTAGGGTAACTTTGTGACATAGGTTTCCTTTGCTTATTCTTTTTAACTACAACTTCTTCCTAAAACAACCAAGTTAAGTTATGTTATTCAAGATGTTTCAAAGACTTCAAGAAGCTCTGTTAATTCAACTTTCTAACATTTACCAAAACAATTTTAACATCCTGATCTGAAGTTTCTTCTCCATGTCGGTTTGTTAGAATTCCTGGAGGTAGGGAAGGTAAAGGATGATTAGGAAGAGGAACAGGCATATGATTCATAATAGCATCACTTGCAGATGTAGCATAATTGTTTCTTTGCCATTCCAAACCAAGACTACTACTCAATGTTGCACCGAAATATGCTGCCTGATCAAATTGACCCTGAGACTGTCCAAACCGTGCAAGCCTTTTATTTTTACGATGGAAGTTATTTCTTTGAACATATATATTGCTTCTATTGTGATTAAACCTTTCACGTCTCATATAATTACCTCTTAGAGGCATTTCTCTTTGAAACGAATTTGTGGTCATATCACGTGGAGGTGGAGGTGGTAGGGGTGATGTTTGAGGTGTTATCCATTGCCATGGTGCAGGAGGATGTGTCCATGCTTGAATTGGTGTAACTTGAGAAGGCACTGGTCCAAAAACATGAGGAGGCGGCGGTACTCCACTGGATGGAGGTGGCATAGGAGGTAATGGGGGTTGACCGGGTAAAGGTTGCGTGACAGTTGAAGGGGATGAAGATGCTGTAGTATAAGCAGGATAGGAACCATTATATCCAAAAGTAACACATTCTTGTTTGGCGAAAGATCTTTTTGTCTCTCCATTTTCTTCAGTTATCTGTAAAATGAAAAATTATGATCGAAAAGTGTAAGGATCTATTAAAATTAAATTACCGTCACAAAAAGTTATTATTTAAGAATGTTAATTTAATATTATTTTCGCTAAATCACTTTAGTCGTATATAAAATACACGAACGCATTCCCAACAACCGCTGTCAAACTAACCTTCCCTAATAGTACCCTTAACAGAAATAAATGTAAATGTATTGCGATAACTATTGTATAACTATGGAAAATAGAGAAATAAGTCTTTACCGAGCGTTTCATAATGTGGATAAAACTGTTCTTAATTTTTAATGAATACTCTTCAACTTTTTAACTTATAATGTAAATACATCATTTAAGTAAAGCAACGAGGGTGGTCAGTAGAAGCTACTGGTTGTTGCGATGCATAACAGGGTTACCAACCCCTATTTCATTATTCTTATATAAATTTGTAAACTAACGAAATGGAGTTATAACTCGAATTTATTTGTGATTAATTGTACTACTCTCTACTAACGTTAACTGTCTCTGCACTTGAAACTTTTGTACCTAATTTTGAATGCAATCGTTAAATTTCAAATTTTAAGTAAAACTAAATATATTAAGATTAATTATGATATTACAGCATAGACAAACCGAAAATATGACTGCATTAGAAATTGAAAAATAAAAATCATTTTAAACACATCGCCTTACGTATAACAGCTGATTTATCATGTTTCAGAATTTTCAGAAAATCATATTCGCATTATAATTTCTACTATCTATGGAATTGTAAATTATGTGTAATGCGTATATGTGAACAATTTTTACAGTTTATTGAATTCTTCAATGTTTTTTTACAATGATAAGATAAAAAATTTGAATTGTAACTTTAGCAAACGCGCAAGTTACACATACTTCTTTGGATGTTTAAAACAATAGGAAGTCAAAAATATTTGAACAAAACAATCTCATGTAAGAGAAGTATTGAAATGAAACAAAAGTGAATGGCCATGTGGTCATGGATAAAATAATGTGTTACTTTTAAAAAATTCCCGCGCCGGTAAAATATTTTTTGTCCATCTATCAGAGAGAAAAGTGAAAGATAGATACAAAAGTCTAGTATTTTCAAGATTACGTTCCTTATTTGTGTGTTCACGACGTTTCTATATATAAATATATATACATATATATATTGGTTATATCGTAATAATACAAATGTAATCGTTACTTTGTTTTTCAATTTATTTATTAAACTTCTGGATAATATCCCGGTGCGCCGACGCAATTTCGCGTTTCTATCTTAGGGAAAGGACTTTTGGCGTAAAAAATTTCACCGATAGATGCCCCTCTTGTTAGTTAACTCGGCGAACATATTGTGCATGTAGTTGGTGTGACATGGCTACGACTAATACAGAAGAAATTGAGGTATTACTTTGTAATATATTTTATCATACCAAAAACATCTTAAAAGTAAATAAAACACTTTGTCTAAATACACTTTTATTGTAAATACTGGAAAAAAACTTGTATAGGTTTTCATTAAAACAGCATGGTCGTTCGACACCTTTTACCCCTCCCATCAGTTCCCATGCATGGTAAAAACTGTCTAACAAATTTAAAAAGGGCATATTATGTTACTCGATGAGAATATTGTAATATATCTTATTTAATATTAAAGATACGTACTTAGTGCAAATATAAATGCCTTACAAATATTCTGTATATGAAATTATTTTATGAAATTAGAAAGTGACACACATATTTATATGTGCATGTTAGTAGGGTAGAGGTTAAGAAAGCTGGATAAAAAATTACATATGTAATTAATTTTCAGGAAGTTGAACGAAAGGAGCAAGAAGTAACGAATTTCGATGAATTCCCACCAGAAGTTTTAATCAAACATCCACTTCAACATACATGGACGCTTTGGTATTATGAACCGGATAAGAGTAAATCATGGGAAGAGAGTCAGAGAAAAATCACGAGTTTCGATACAGCGGAAGATTTTTGGAGGTATTATAAATATTTGTTAATGTTTATTGTTCAGATTTATAATTTAATATCTGTTGTATTGCCAGTATATACAACCACATAAAACCTGCATCCGAATTGAAACAAGGTTGTGACTACAGCTTGTTCAAGCAAGGGATTAGACCTATGTGGGAAGATGATGCTAATAAAGCTGGTGGAAGGTGGCTTATAAACTTAGATAAAAAACAGAGGGTCTCAGATTTAGATCACTTTTGGTTAGAAACTCTTTTATGTATGATTGGTGAAGCCTTTAATGGGTACTCTGATGATGTCTGTGGAGCTGTAGTTAATGTGAGAACAAAAGGAGATAAAATTGGAGTATGGACAGCGAATGCCAATAGTGAAGACAGTGTCTTGGAAATTGGGTAAGTTGGGTCAAATATTTACTAATTACTTAATTAATTAATTAATTACTTAATTATATCCTTTCTTACAGGCGTAAATTAAGGGAGAGATTAAAAATCACATCAAAAGTACCTATAGGATATCAAATACATAAAGATATTATGGTCAAAGTAACCAGTCAAACAAAAAATGCTTATATGATCTAAAAACTGTTGATGTTACATTAATGTCACATTAATGTGACATTAATGTCATCATTATTCATTAAAAAATGTCAAACTGGACAAGAAATGCATTAATCATAAAGAAATACAAAATTGAATTGGTCAAAATGGTTAAATAAAAATTCAGCGTAAAATTTTTTAAAAAACTACATCCTCATTGTAGCTAAGTATCTTCTTAATGAAAGTAAATGAACAAATACTAATAAATATGCACTGATATAGATGTATATTGTATTAATATAAAAATTTACATTAATGAAACATGTAATTTAGAACTAGATTGTGAAAACTACACAGGCTGCTGTATTTTTCAAAGAAGAGTATAAACTTTATACTATAAAGCATACAATTATAAAAAATGATAAGTAGTTTTTTTTCATACATGTTCTTTCTCATGTGTAATACATACCATCGATATAAATAATAAAATTTTCTATAAGCAATTTTATTCAAAAACCTACGGAAGTAAGTTAGCAATTGTGAAAAATATGAGAAAATGAAGTACAGCAACCTACTTAAAAATGATAGCACTATTTACATAATATTCTCGATATTCTTTAATAAAGAGTTATATTTAAGTTTTTCTTAAAAAGTTTATAAAAAACACAATTTCCTGCCTCTGCAATATATACATATATATATATACCTTTTTACTTTTAATTATCCTGAAATAAATGATACCATAGACGTTAATTCATATAAATGATAATTTTTTTTTTAAATAAACTTACAAGAATTAAAT